GTCATTACCCAGACTAAGAGATAAAACATTAGCTTATGTCAGAAGCCCCTGTGTATGCTTTCCAAATGCATTCTTTCTCCTGGTCTCAGAGCTAATGACATCCTGAGTTTTATACCAGTCATTCCCTTGTTTGTCTTTATTATTATTTTTTTTACCACTTAGGTATGTGTCTCCAAACAAGGTTTATTGTAATTACTGGCATTTTGACTGTCATCGTATTTTAAGCTTCTATATTTTTTATATCTGTTATTTTTCTTGTTCTCTTTTCTTTGTTTTTTTCTGGGTTGAATGTTTTAATCATTCAGTTTTCCCCTCTTTACTAATTTGGAGTCCAATTATATATATCTTAGACAATTTGATAAGATTACATAGGTTGCTAGGCTCTCTCATTTTTCCTCATTATTTCCCCACTTCTCTCAAATTGGATAATTTTTATTGATTTGCCTTCAAGGTCACTGGCTTTTTCTTCTGATAACCTCCAATCTGCTGCTAAGTTCATCAAATGAATTTTTTTTAATTTGGGTATTATAATTTTCAGTTTTAGAATGTCCATATCTCTGTTTTTATAGTTTCTGTTTCTCTGTTAGTTTCTCCTTATCTGTTCAGTCATTAAAACCAAATTTTCCTTTAATTCTTTGAACAAATTTTTTAAAAGATTTTATTTATTTATTTATTTGAGAGAGACATAGTGAGAGAGAGCACAAGTGGGGAGGAGAGGAAGAAACAGTTTCCTCACTGAGTAAGGAGCTCATTGCGGGACTCCATCCCAGGACCCTGGGATCATGACCTAAGCTGAAGGCAGACACTTAACTGACTGAGGCACCCAGGTGCCCCTGAATATAATTTTTCCATCCAAATTTTGAAATATATTTTTTCTAGGTTTAGAAATATTAGTTGATATTAAAGATCCATTCATGCATTTATTCTTTCAACAGAGATTTGTTGTGTTTGTTAAATAGTGGGATAAATAAATAATATATAGCTTCTCCCCTCATATGGAAACAATCTGGGCCATGAAAGGAAATTATTTCAAAGTAGTATAATAAGTACAAAAATAGAGTCATTAAAATGTATATTAGTGGCACAGATGATCAATCTGTCCATCAGGGAAGACTTCACAGGGAAATGTAACGTTGAGTTGGGTCTTCTAGTATAAATACAAGTTAACTAGGTAGATAAGATTTGGGGAAAATTCTGGACGAACAGAATGGCATGTGAAAAGGCATGAAAGAACATGCTACACAGCTTAAAATTGTACGATGTATTACTCTTTCAGATAAGGCTGGAGAGTAGATTTCATCTCTCTTGCACTCCCCTTCTTTAAGTAAGCTGGTCCATAGAACTGAGCCTCAATTTCCGACCAGTGTTTCAAATGATCTTATTCTCCTTATTTTCTTAAATCTCTCTTTAATGTTTTCGATCTCTGTCTCTGTGGCATGCATTTTGGTTAAGTTCTTAAGTTCTATCTTCTAGCTTTCTAATTCTCTCTTTAGCTGTATTTATTCTACTGCTAACCTTGTCCTTTTAATTTTTAGTTTTAATTATTATAATTTTTATCTTTAGGACATCTATTTGGTTTTATTCTGAAGCTGCTTTTCTTTAACTCACATTTTCAAGTTTCCCCACTGTTTCTTGAAACATATTAAATATATATTATTTTATCATCTTGTTAGTTCCAATATCTGTATTTCTTTAGAACTGATTCTTCTGTCAGTTTTCTTCCTGCTAGCCTTTACTCATGGTGCCTTTTTTCCTTGTGTGTTTTGTTTGTTTATTTATTTTTCCTTTTCTTGGGAATTTGTGGACATTCTTTCCGAACGAAGATAAGAAAGTTTCCTCCAGAGATTTGAGTTTGCTTTACCTTGCACTAAAGTAACTGTCTTCCCAATATCACTTTATGTCAAGTGATTATCTGAGGTTTCGCTGACCAGTGGGAAAGAGTAAATTTGGGCTTCCAATTCATATGAAGTAATGGCATGTGGTTAAAAAATTATGAGGGACATAGTTCCTCTCTCTGTTCCACACTAAGGATCAAGACTTTCACTTTCCTGGGTGCCTGGGTGGCTCAGATGGTTAAGCGTCTGCTTTCAGCTCAGGTCATGATCCCAGGATCCTGGGATCGAGTCCCGCATCAGGCTCCCTGCTCCTTGGGAGCCTGCTTCTCCCTCTGCCTCTCTCTCTCTCTCTCTCTCTCTCTCTGTCTCTCATGAATAAATAAATAAAATCTTAAAAAAAAAAGACTTTCACTTTCCTGAGTTAGGAGTAAGCAGGTCTCTATTAGGTCACTGTTTTACTATGGATGCAATCCTTTGGGGATCCAGCTTTAGGGCTATTATCCTCTTAGACTGTATTTTTTTTTTAAGATTTTATTTATTTATCAGAGAGAGAGAGAGAGAGAACACAAGCAGGGGAGAGGCAGAAGGAGAGGGAGAAGCAGGCTCCCCGCTGAGTAAGGATCCTGATATGGGACTCAATCCCAGGACTCTGGGATCGTGACCTGAGCCAAAGGCAGATGCTTAACCAACTAAGCCATCCAGGCATCCCCTCTTAGACTGTTTTGAGCAAGTCATAATTTTCTCTTCTGTCTTTTTGCTCCTTGACTAGAGAAAGTCATAATTTCACAAAGTTTTATAATGCTGTTAAGACTGAAGCTGGCATCAGGGCTCTATTTACATAAACTAAATTAGTCCCTGCATGAGTATTCCTCTTTTTTCAGATAACGTATGCCTTTAAGAAGGTGGATTTTGTATGTTATTCAGCACTTTTTTTTTTGTCTTTACTATAAGAGAAGGGAAATACAAATATGGAATGGGGGACCTGTAATGTTGGCTTGAAATCAGTATCAATATGGACTCTTGATTTTACATGTGTGCATGGGCATTTATGTGTGTGTGTGTTTATCCTACCTCTGTCCATTGCAAGAGTCTAGAAGCAATAACATCCAGTAACACATAGGATGCTTAGCACCCAGATTTTGGTTTCTAAATTCCATTCCTCACTAAAAGAACTGGACTCCTTGAAAAAAAAAAAAGATTAATTCCATGTCTGAGGATGTTAAGGACATTTGGAGCACTATTTGTGCCAGAAAGCAAGGAAGTTACTCAAATACTAATAGGGACATATGAAAAGGACATAGGAACCAGCCTGAAGAGACTCCCACTGGCCAAATTTGGGAGAATTTGAGCCTCAGAAAAGAATAACAATGGGAACGGATCATAATACACTGAATAACCGCCCCCCCCCATAAATCCATAGTTATACTCTGGATGGAGGGATGGAAGAAGGGAAGTTTGAGAGAAAGCCACCTTTTATAGAAGAATAAATGTCACAGATTAAGTTCCCCAGACTGGAGAATAGAGACTTGTATACAGAAAGTTCACTGGGGAAGGCTTCTACTATCAACACTCTGGGGCACTTCAGAAAGCAGGACTGGGCAGACTGAAGAGGTAAACTGTAATGTCATCATAGCTGAGCAATAGCTGTTTTTTTTCTTTTTTTTTTAAATTTTATTTATTTATTTGACAGAGAGAGAGCACAAGCAGGGGGAGTGGCAGGCAGAGGGAGAAGCAGGCTTCCTGCTGAGCAGGGAGCCCGATGTGAGGCTGAATCCCAGACCCTGATATCATGACCTGAGCCAAAGGCAGATGCTTAACCCACTGAGCCATCCAGGCATCTCAAGAGCTGTTTTCGATAGGGATCTCTGGGGTTGGAATGACTCATCAGAGTTGTCCCAAGTTGGGGCAAGGGACCTGTAGCTGTATTCCCTCCCACTACATTCTTAGAGATGAGGACCATCCTCAAGGAGCATCAGTAACCTTGGAGAAGGTAGTTTCTTTCCAAAGAGGGTGATTCTTGGGAAGGGTCTCAGCTGAGAGCTCTCAGCAGACAACACCGAACGCTGGAGGAGTGAGGGCCTGTCCTGAAGGGGGAACCAGGAAAGCACACCACCACATCCACTACAATGCCAGATAATAAATGTGGAGAAATGATAGAATTTGAAAATTACAATTTTGCAAATTTCAGTGTATTCATAGATCTCGGCAAAGATTATCAATGCCTGGACCATCAATGCTAAAAAGATTTGCTGAAAAGTTTTGGAGGAACAAAATATTCACATGGTTCTGAAATTTCTCCTCACTTTTTAATTATTTTAATTTAATTACTTTTTAATTATAAAGAAGGAAAAAGTACTTTTACAATGGAGTGATCTGACAGAGACCACTTTAGGAGATCAAACTTAATCTCACCAGTAATGGGACAAATTGACCTTATGTGCCTCCTGGTGTGAAGTAATGTGAAGTCCACAGCTTCATCTGCCTTGAATTTTTGCCCACCATTCTAACCTTATCTTTTTTTTTTTTTTAAAGACTTTTTATTTATTTGAGAGAGAGAGAAAGAGTACGAGTCGGGGGAAGGGCAGAGGGGGAGGGAGAAGCAGCCTTGCCACTGAGCAGGGAGCCAGACGTGGGGTTCAATCCCAGGACTCCAGGATCATGACCTGAGCCGAAGGCAGATGCTCAACTGACTGAGCCACCCAGGCACCCCCATTCTAACCTTATCTAATTATGAAGAAACAATCAAACAAACCGTATATGGGGTATTCTACAAGACAACCAGCTTGGACTCATCAAAAATGCTGATGTCGTTATGGACAAAAAAGATGGGAGGAATGCCTTAGATGAGGGTTTGACAAACTATAACTCATAGGTCACATCCTGACACACATCCACACCCATTTGTTTACGTATGGTCTATGGCTTCTTCTGTGTTATAAGAGCAGAGTTGAGTGGTTGAAACAGACACCTATGTGGCCCTTCACAAAAAAGCTTGCCAACTCCTGCTTTAAATTAATGATGACGAGAAACATGATAATCAATCACAAGTATACGGCTGAACCTTGATTGGATTCTGGATTTTTTTTAAAAGACCGTAAAAGAAAATCTGGGGAAAATTGGGGAAAATCTGAATATGAATTATATTGTTATATATTATATGTTAAATTATATTATTGAATTAATGTTAAATTTCTTGGGTGTGATAATGGTTTTGTGGTTATGTGGGAGGAGTCCTTCCTCTTTGAAGATATGTGCTGATACAATTAGGAGTTCAATATCAGGATGTTTGTAACTTATTCTTCAGCCAAAGAAAAATCTGTGTGTGTGTGTGTATGTCTATAAAGAAAGGTCAAACAAATGTAACAGATTGTTAAAATTGGCGAATCCAGATAAAGGTTGGTGTTTGTTATAATAACTTGCTTGACTTTTTAGCTTTGAACTTTTTCAAAGTAAAAGTTGGGGAAAAAAGCGGAAGAAAACTTTCTTAATCTTAATTCTTAATCTGGTTAAATATTCGAGAAGTCATTTTTCAGGCTGCTTAAAATGATTCATTTAATTTTCTCAGAATGTAAAGATGAAAAAATTTGAAGTGAATATCCCCAGAATCCCTCTGACATTCTCTTCCTATTCCCATAGATAGAATGACGATTTCTGTCCGAGAGGAGGAGAACTGGGTGCTTGCAGCCTGGGGGAGGCCCAGGCAACATGAATCAGCAGGCTGAAAGAGAAGGCCACCATAATTTAAAGACATCTAGTTACATAGCAGTGACTAGAGAGAGCAGGTGGCCTCTCCTTTCAGTTCCTGATGTTTGGTTTTGAACTTTAAGGAATGGAAATTTCCAAATTAAAAACAGCTTCATGGAAAAAAGTGTGACTGAGTAGTAACATGGTCCTGTGTTCAAATCCCAGCTTCTGCTCGCAGGGCATGTCTAATAAAGACAGCCATCAGCACTATAGCAAGTATTCAGGGGATGCTAGCTATGTGCCAGGCATGGGTCTGAGAACTTCACAAATATTCATTTAATTCTTATAGCAGTATGAGGGGAGCTATTACTGTCATTCTCACTTTACAGAGGAAGAAACTGAGCCCCAAATTGTTAAAAACTGGCCCAAAGTCTCCCAACTGGTGGATGAAAGAGCTAGGATTTGCACCAGACTGTGTCCCTCTGGAGCTCCCACTTGTCACCGTGCCACCATACAGTCTTTCAGATATGGTTGTTCGGGAAAAGAATCAGGGTAAAAGTCAACTGGCCGGTTTGAGGAAGGCCAGTCCATGTGCATGGCCATTAATGCTCTCAGATAAAGCATGCACTAAATTCACTGTAGAGGTCATCCTATGATTGGGCCATTCCAGATGAGGTCTCTGCAAGGACAGTTTTGAAGGGAACCAACTCCATCCACAAAATGGGCTATTTTTTATATGGAATTAAGTAAAAGTCCATCAAATTCAGTTCTGGGCGGCAGGTGGGTCAGCTAGCAAGTTCTAGAAAGTCAGCCTTTCCACTGGGGATATGTGCCTGAATGTCTTCCTTGTGGAAATCTGGATGCTTACTCCTCTTTGCTGTACACTCCCTCCCCCTCCACCGGTCATGGAAGAGAGCACCCAGAGTGGATTTCCTGTCAGCTTAGCCAGAGAGGCTCCCTCATGGGGGCTGGGGCAGGAACCAGTCACAGATACTCTCTGGGAATGAAAGAACGAGCTCTGGGAAAGATCATGCACTTGACCTTGTCAACTTGAGGCGTACCCCAAACTTCCCTATTAGCTTTGTGTAGGTGTACGATGGTGTGACTGACTTGGAGGGACTGAGTTCTCAGATTTTGGGGGCTGCCCTGTGGTTGGGTTACAATCAGGCCAGGGACTGTGGAGGCTGCAGACACCCTTGGCACAGTGACCTGGCTCAGTGCCTCTGTGCAGCGCACACACACAAAAGATAGTTCTTTTTTTGTGAGTTGGTTTATCCTGGGATGCTGACATTTCCCTGGATGCCATGATGCTACCCTTTTGGGTGTGCGTAATTTCCAGACTACCCGACCCTGGCCAGGTGTCTTAAATTGGAAACACAAGGGAGGGAATCAACCCATCCTGCAGAGTGCCTCGTGGCACCTCTCCTGTCCCATCAAGCGCGGAGGTGCCCCTGCTGGAGTAGCCTCTCTCAGTCCTCACTTCCTAGGGTCTTGGGTTTGTTTCCAGATAAGTCGTGGCTTCTTTTGTCCATTTTTAGAAAGACACTGTTTAGACTTTGCACATAGCTGTGAAAGCAAAAACAGGATTTCTAATACTGGGGATTGAAGAAGAGTTTTTGCAACTCACACCCCAAAGGAGAAGTATGGGCTTCCTCAGCTTCCCCTTGACAATGGAGATGAATGTCATTACACTGGTGACCAAGAGACAGTGAGCAGTAAAACAGATCTGCATCATGCTGGGAGGAGAGTGTTCCGAGCTTCCCTCCCTCCTCGGCCGAGGCGCTGACCAGTGGAGGCTGGGTGCTGGGGGACCGGGCTTCCCTGAGGGATATCAGCCAGCAGAGAGACCCGGGAGCACATCCTGCAAGCAAGAAGTGTGGTCACAGCTCTGGAGGCAACCTCCAACTTGGACCACACTGCGCTACAGTCCTACACAGGCAGGAGGAGGCATGTGGGGCAGTCAGTGCAAACCTTCCCTCCTCACACTAGGCCCTTCCAAGCCCTTCCTACCATTTCTCACCCACTGCCCCTCTGTGACCTGCCTTGCTGGCTGGGGATTGTGGCTGGAGGGCACGTCTGGGAAGGGACGTTAAAGAGAGAGAGAGAGAAGGAAGAAGAGAGGGGGGAAAGAATAAAAACAGGGGGGCCATTGAAGTCAAAGGAGCAGGGAGAGTGGGGAGAAGGAAAGCGGGCCCAGAGGGCTGGAAGTTGGGGACATTTCTGCAGACCTGACCCAGCTCCACACCATGCACTCCACCAGAACTAAGCAAATGCTTACATTCTCATGACAGCAGCGGTGTGAGAAGGCACCTGCAGACCTCCCTCAGAACTCTGGCTGTGGGGGTGTAATGGGCCACTGTGCCCCGAGGTGGCACCCCACACCAGGACTGGTCCATCTCTAGGAGACACAGGACTCCTCAGGCAGTGACTTTGGTTTCGTGACACCCCCCAGTGGCCTTGCCCCAACTGTCCTCCCTCTATCCAGCAGGGGACACACCTACCTGACGGTCTGAAGGCTGTCCTAGCTCCCCATGCTTCCCAACTTCCCCGCAGGTCCTCCTGTGTGTCTCGTCCCTTCCCAGCTCGGCTCTGCCTCTCCGAGGACCAGAAGTAGCAGAAACCCTAACACTAGGTACTAGTGTTATGTTTATTTAACATTTGGGAAAACCAGGGCACAGGGAGCTACAGTGAATTGCCTCGAGTATTGCAGCCAGTATGTGGCCATGCTGAGACTTGAACCCTCCTGCGTACCCGCCATCTGCTCTCAGTACCCTTTCACACATGGGGTGACAGACTCTGAGGTAAGCTCAGAGGTGAACACGCTGTCACATGGCTATTGTGGCCCAGATGCCCCAGGGTACATATTAAGCCATGGAACACCAACCCTCAGTGGTTTGGGGCCCTGAGCTGCTCCTGGGTGGGGATGACATCTCCCTATGCCTTTCCGGAGTCACAGGGGCAGCTCACAGGTGTCAGGGACAAGTCTATGCTCTCAGATGGCATCCCCCATGTTTTGCCAGACATCAGCCATCCCCTGCCTGGCGTCCATGGCTCCTGGGGAGCTGTGTGCCGTGTACCTTGGAGGCTCTGAGCAGCTGCAGGCTTGCTGGCTTCCACGTGCATCTGGGGAAACGGTCTTGCTCCTCAAATAGTCTGGCAAGGTCCCAGAAAGGGCCAGGGCCACATGCTTCCTGCTTCTCCTTCTCCTTTTGCATCACCAGGCCCAAATAGCTCTGCACGGGAGCAGCTCCCCGAGCTACACGCCAGCACCCCCCAAAAGACTGCATCCTGCTGACCAGGGCGCAGCGCATGTCTGGATTCTGGGAGGGCTCGGACGGCACATCCTGCCTCTGCTGAGCTTCAAACTTGCATCTGCATTGCTGTATGAAAGCCCTGCTCTTCTCTGAATCAGTGGTGGAAAGACCTGGAAGACGGGGAAGTAACAGCAGCTAGGATACAAAATGTTGGGTGGATATGGGGATGACAATGCTTTGAAACAGGGAGAGAGAAAAAGACAGGAAAGAGGGTGCGTCTCCGAAGATGTCAGGCCCCCACCAGGAGCAGGTCCTTTGGAAGGCAGCAGGCCCGGAGGATGTTTGCTTGGCTTGTCTGGACTGTGAGGGCGGCTGGGTGGGTTTGCCCACATGTCAACAGGACCTTCTGAGCCCCCAGGATCACTGCTCTTTCAACCATCGCTGACCTTCTCAGCTGGCTTGAGGCTCCTCTTAGTGGTCCCCTGGGTTCTCATGGGGATGCTTTCTTCTTCTGTCAACAGAAAATCCACACTTCCAGGTTATAAAGCCACTGCCACTGTTTTGTACCAACTTGCCCCTTTTTCTGGCCCGAGGAAGGGGTGTGTGTGTGTGTGTGTGTGTGTGTGTTTGTGTGTGGGCTTGTGCACGTGCGCACGCATGTGTATCGTACCCAGGGCTCGGCCTCTGCCCCACTCACTCCTGGCTGCACAGCCCCCAGGACAGGAAGAGTGCCAGCCTCACAATCCTGACGGCAGGGTAAAGACCACCAGTCAGTGCTGGTGGGCCTTTTGAAGAGATGACACAGAGGAAAGGGCGCTCCGCAAAGGCGATTCCTGTGTCCTCTCTGCTGGGTGGCCTCGGACTGGAGTAGCCCGGGCAGGAGCGGCCGGGAGGTCCAGGCTAGGCTGTGGGAAGCTGCAGGCGATCGCACCCTGCAGGAGGTCGGTGGGCAGCACTGGGGAGGCTGAGGCCAGCCTGGCGGGCAGCGGAGTAGAGGAGGGTGCTGTGAGTGACAGCAGGGAGGGGCTGCTCGGCAGAGGGTCCCGGGGTGTGGGACAGTGGTGAGCAGGCCACTCTGAGGGCTGGCTGTGGAGGCGGGAGGCGGAGAACCCGAGGGGCTCCTTCAGCCCCCTGTGTCCAGTGATTCTTGCTGCTCCTCCCGTTCTGTGAGACCACACTTAGCAAGTCAGCCTCTTTCTCACCAGGCTGAAAAATTGTCCGCCTCACTGGTTTCTAAGCCTGCCACGACAGTACCCACATTACCTAACTCCTCCGCCCACCGCCTTCTTCCTCTGACCTTGGACCGCCCTGAGGCTCTGCCACCCCAGGGAGCACACTGTCCGTCGTTTCTCTCATTCCCTCTCTCCAGATACATGTATATCTACCCCATTTGGAATGTGTGCCAGGCCCTACAGGGCAGGAAAAGTCAGGGGATTTTCACCTAATATTTTTCTGGTTGCTTTTCTAACACCTAAATTCCATAAGCAATGGGAAAGAGGGAAGTTTCCGCTTTTCTTTCCTTCTAGACTCTAAGAAGTTTCCTTGGGCAGGAGGAGGGCGCTGGGAATGTGTAGACGTTGGTCCTAGCAGAAGCCTGGACATGCTGCAGGGCCCTCAATCATCCGTGAGGCCCTGGGGGCAAAGGGGTCTGTGCCCTGCTTCCTGGGCTGAGCCCTGGAAAGGAGCAGTCACCCAAACAGGGAATAGATCTAGGCAGACAGGGCCATCACCAGCATACCCCGTGCTGGGTTGTGGCCCAGAAGCAGCACAGTGAATTCTGGGCCCATGGGTGGCACAGACAAGTGAGGACGGAAGCTGGACCGGAGGACCAAGGCAGACTGGAAGGGGAGCCAGTCCACTTGCATGGCTCCGTGGCTGGCATGTAGAGGGGATGGTGGCTGTCTGGTGGACACGTGCATGGAGAGGGGGGATAAACGGAAGGGTAGCTACCAGGTAGAATTGCATGGAGCTGCAAGCAGCAGAAAATCCAACGCCTGGTGGTGTGAACAGCGGGAGGTTCTGTGACTTCTGCACTTAGGGCAGTCCAAGTGCATACAGCACTGTCACCGTGTCACCCAGGCTACTGGCACCTCACCCCTTCCTTCTTTATCATCCTTTTACTCTGAAAAAGAAGGAGCAAGTTGTGGTTTTTGATTTAGGAAATAAATTTAGTTCATGCAAATGATCCACCCTTAAAAAATGAATCATAATTATAGAAGTGCATTCTTCTTTAGTTATATTCAAATATAGCTCACAAATATCAGTGTGCTAACTGAATATAGCTACTCCTGTAACTTCAAGTTGCCTCCTACTCAGCCAAACGGCAAGATTTTACCAGTGGAAACTTAGTCACTATTTCCTCCGCACCCCGCCCAGCTTTATTACTGAGATATAATTTACATGTAACATTGTATACGTTTAGGATGTACATCCTGGGGATGCCTGGGGGGCTCAGTGAGTTAAGCGTCTGCTTTCAGCTCAGGTCATGATCTCAGGGTCTTGGGATCGAATCCCGAATCAGGCTCCTTGCTCAGCTGGGAGTCTGCTTCTCCCTCTCCCTCTGCCACGCCCTGCTCTCTGTTCGCTCTCTCTCAAATAAATAAATAAAATCTTTATATTGAAAAAAAAAAGGATGTACAACCTGATGATCCGACACACATATATATCGCAAATTGATTACCACAATAAGTTTAGTTAACACATCCATTACCGCACATAATTATCTTTCTTTGTGTTTGGTGAGAAACATTTAAGATCTCTTCTCTTGACAAAGTCCAAGTATTGTTAACTATGGTCACCATGCTGCAATTAGATCCTCAGAACTTATCAGTTTTATGGGTAGAAGTTTGTACTCTTTCACTAACGTCTCTCTATCCCCCTCACCCCCCGCCCGCCACCAGCCACCAGCCCCTGACAAACTCCATTCCACTCTCTGTTTCTATGAGTTTGGCTTTTTTAGACTTCACATATAAGTGAGATCATACAATTTTGCTCTTTGTCTGTCTGATTTATTTTATTAAGCATAATGACCTCAGGTTTTATTCATATTGTCTCAAATGTCAGGATTTCCTTCTTTTTTATGGTTGAATAATATTCCATTGAATATATATATCACATCTTTTTTTATGCATTCATCCATCAATGGACACCTAGGTTGTTTCCATATCTTGGCTATTGTGAGTAATGCTGCAGTGAACACGAAGGTGCAGATATCTGTTTAAGATAGTGATTTTATTTTGCTGGGTCGTACGGTAGTTATTTTAAAAATTTTTTTGTGGAACCTCCATACTGTTTTCTGCAGTGGCTGCATCAGTCTTTTATTTTTGATACTAGCTGTTCAAACAGGTGTGATGTGGCATCTCACAGTGGTTTTTTTTTTTTTTTTTTTTTTTCACAGTGGTTTTGATTTGCATTTCCTCAATGATGAGTGATGTTGAGCACCCTTTCACATATCTGTTGGTCATCTGTATGTCTTCTTTGGAGAAAAGTCTATTCATGTCCTTTGTCCATTTTTCGATTGGATAATCACTATTTTATTTTTGCTCCATTAATTTTACTCCTGTAAATTTTTACTACCTTATCAACATCTTGCACATTCTAAATAGCAGCTGCTGAATGCACCCAGCATATGTCGGTAAACACAGAAGTCATATATTTCCAAGGGCCCACTCACGCTAACTGCAGAGCAGAATAATACCTCTTGCATTTCACCCTTCATATTCTGGTAAGCAAAACTGTGTTCATGAAAATGTATGTGAAACTTCAGGTCCTACCTGAGACCCATGGTTGGTCCAAACCTGCATATGCAGCCCCGGCACTTCAGGATATCACCAAAGGTTACTCAGGATACCTATGTACATGAGGTCTTGTGCTACACGTTCTCACCCCCACTCTGCTCCTGAAGAGGGAAGAAAAGCCCATGGGAAGGGTCCTAAACACTGGAATTAAGGCCAGTAGGGCTTGAGGTAAGGCCAGCTAGACTGTGCCCTCTGGGGCAGCAGACAGAGGAAACGCGATGTGAATGTGTGTTAGCCCCTGCTGTGGGCTAGACACTGTGGCAGCTGCTTGCACAGCGATCTCTCATTTTCTCCTCTGAATATAGGCATCAACACCACATTGTTCTGATGAGTAAACTAAGGCCCAAGGCAGTTAAGTAATTTCCAAAGACCAACACTGCCAGAGCAGGGATACTTAACCTTCAAGTCTGGGCTCATCAGGAGGGGTAAGGGTAGATCTTCATGGACAAGACAATAGCAAGATGGCCCTGGGCTCCTTCTGGTCTCACTGAAGGCTCTGTGGAGCAGAGGCGCTGGACCCAGGGGCTGGCACATCTGTAATACTTGGAAAGAGGAGGAAGTCTGTGCGGCAGGCGTTCCCTTATCCTGGGAGGGGCCAACGGTTATCAGGGTGAGTGAAATAGAACTTCCTGAGAGACTAAGATTGATTACCTGGGCTCCTTATATCTCCTAGGGTTGCTCTGACAGTATATTTAGGGTCCACACGCAGTGCTTTCATTGTCCTTTGTGGCCAGTAAAGGTAGAGAAGATTTCAGACATAATCTCTGTTCTTCACTGTTGCAATTGCACTATCCCTAGACTGAGCATTTTCAAAAATCCTTCCTTCTGTAAGGATTCCTTCCTAATCCTTCCTTCTGCTGCCATTTTACTGGTTCATGCCTCTTCAAGTAAAATACCTAGATGCCTTAAGGTGTGACAAACCGCGGGTGAAAAATACTCCAAAGAACTGGCATCAGCATCCCATGCCCATTATTTCCCAGCCTGTGTATCTGCCCATGCTTTGAGTAATGATGAATTAATGCAGTGTGATTTCTGCTACCTCTGATTAACTTACATCCATGACCGCGATAACCAGGTTGTAGCTAAAAGTCATTTTCTTGACTTTCAGGTTTGAATAGCATCTGGCTAGCAGCCTCTGGGGCAGCCCCTTGCAATATTTCATTAAAATGCTAATGCACCCATAGGATAGCCTGAAATGCCAAGTAACACCACAGACTAAGACTAAACACAACCTTGACAGAATACGGGAGGAATCTGCATTAACTATAAGGCAAGGTCATTTGAAAAGAGAAACCACTGTGACTTTTGCCTTATGAAACAGAAAAATAGTAAATGATATCAGGAAACAATATTTGTAACATATATGAAAGACAAAAGATGATTCCATTTCCTCTATTACAAGCTCTTAAAAAAATCAATTTTATAGACAGGCATGCAGAAGAACGAAACTGGACCATTTCTTATACCATACACAAAAATAAACTCAAAATGGATGAAAGACCTAAATGGGAGACAGGAATCCATTGAAATCCTAGAGGAGAACACAAGCAGCAACGTGTCTGACCTCGGCCACAGCAGCTTCTTGCTAGACCCATCTCCAAAGGGAAACAAAAGCAAAAATGAACATTGGGATTTCATCAGGATAAAAAGCTTTTGCACAGCAAAGGAAAACAACAAACTAATAGGCAACCTATGGGATGGGAGAAGATATTCACAAATGACATATCAGATAAAGGGCTAGTATCCAAAATCTATAAAGAACTTATCAAACTCAACACCCAAAGAACAAATAATCCAACCAAGAAATGGGCAGAAGACATGAACAGACATTTCTCCGAAGAAGACATACAATGGTCAACAGACACATGAAAAAATGCTCAACATCACTTGGCATCAGGGAAATACAAATCAAAACCACAATGAAATACCAACTCATACTCATCAAAATAGCTAAAATGAACAACACAGGAAACAACAGATGTTGGCACGGATGCAGAGAAAGGAGAGCCCTCTTACACTGTTGGTGAGAAAGCAAACAGGTGCAGCCACTCTGGAAATCAGGATGGAGGTTCCTCAAAAAGTTAAAAATAGAACTACCCTACAACCTAGCAATTGCACTACTAGGTATTTATCCGAAGGATACAAAAATGGTGATTCAAAGGGGCACATGCACCCTAATGTTTATAGCAGCAACAGCCAAACTATGGAAAGAGTTCAGATGTCCACTGACAGATGATGGATAGAAAAGAGTATAATAAAAAAGTAATTCAATGCAATCCCCATCAAAATACCATCCACTTTTTTCAAAGAAATGGAACAAATAATCCTAAAATTTGTATGGAACCAGAAGAGACCCCGAATAGCCAGAGGAATGTTGAAAAAGAAAAGCAAAGCTGGTGGCATCAGGATTCCAGACTTCCAGCTCTATTACAAAGCTGTCATCATCAAGACAGTATGGTACTGGCACAAAAACAGACACATAGATCAATGGAACAGAATCGAGAGCCCAGAAATGGACCCTCAACTCTATGGTCAACTCATCTTTGACAAAGCAGGAAAGAATGTCCAATGGCAAAAAGACAGTCTCTTCAACAAATGGTGTTGGGAAAATTGGACAGCCACATGCAGCAGAATGAAACTGGACCATTTCCTTACACCACACACAAAAATAGACTCCAAACGCTTGAAAGACCTAAACGTGAGACAGGAGTCCATCCAAATCCTAAAGGAGAACACAGGTAGCAACCTCTTTGACCTCAGCCGCAGCAACTTCTTCCTAGAAACATCGCCAAAGGCAAGGGAAGCCAGGGCAAAAATGAACTATTGGGATTTCATCAAGATAAAAAGATTTGCACAGCAAAAGAAACAGTCCACAAAACCAAAAGACAACCGACAGAATGGGAGAAAATATTTGCAAATGACATATCAGATAAAGGGCTAGTATCCAAAATCTATAAAGAACTTATCCAACTCAACACCCAAAGAACAAATAATCCAGTCAAGAAATGGGCAGAAGACATGAGCAGACATTTTTCCAAAGAAGACATCCAAATGGCCAACAGACACATGAAAAAGTGCTCGACATCGCTCGGCATCAGAGAAATCCAAATCAAAACCTCCATGAGATACCACCTCACACCAGTCAGAATGGCGAAAATTAACAAGTCAGGAAACGACAGATGTTGGCGGGGATGTGGAGAAAGGGGAACCCTCCTACACTGTTGGTGGGAATGCAAGCTGGTGCAACCACTCTGGAAAACAGTATGGAGGTTCCTCAAACAGTTGAAAATAGAGCTACTGTTCGATCCAGCAATTGCACTACTGGGTATTTACCACAAAGATACAAATGTAGGGATCCGAAGGGGTATGTGCACCCCAATGTTTATAGCAGCAATGTCCACAATAGCCAAACTGTGGAAAGAGCCAAGATGTCCATCGACAGATGAATGGATAAAGAAGAAGTGGTATATATACGCAATGGAATATTATGCAGCCATCAAAAGGAATGAGATCTTGCCATTTGCAGCGATGTGGATGGAACTGGAGGGTGTTATGCTGAGTGAAATAAGTCAATCAGAGAAAGACATGTATCATATGACCTCACTGATATGAGGAATTCTTAATCTCAGGAAACAAACTGA